TGGAAAAGAGGGGAGAGAAGAGAGAGGGATAGTGGGGAGGGGGAAGTAGGTGAGAGAAAAACCGGGGACACTTGGGCGCCATCAGGTATCAGATGTGACTAGTTAAAAATGGAACAACAGTGTAAAGACTATTAATTACTGTGGATAACAGACACATTTGATATCATAATGAATTACTGAGATATTGTAATTAGTAATAGGAGAAGTTGTTGTCCTGATGTTCCGGGGTCAGAAATATCTGAAATGAGAGAGAAAAAAAGAGAGAGAGACTATGGGAGGACAAAGGGAAATAGTCATTGACATGTATTAAAATAAATAAATGAGTGAATGTGGGGGGGGGCAGAGAGACAGAGAGAAGTGGAGAGGTGCTCAGTGCATGATGGGAATAAGGTCCAGGTTGAAAAAAAACGAACTGCTCCTTTAAACCAGATCCAGTGAGTCTCCGTGGATCTTCTGTGACAGACATACAGCTAACTGCTTCTTGAACATTGGTTCTAAAGTAGAAGTTCTGGAACGAATCCTTCTCTTTCTGTGGATGAGCAGCCAAGCGTTGATGCTGTGACATCACATCCAGATGTTCTGATGCCAGAAACTGAAGAAAGCTGACAAACCAGTTGTGCTTGTAATGAACAGTGCCGCCTGCAGGGCGGCGCTAACAGGTCACGTTCTGACTCATTTTGTTTCTTTAAAAAAAATTAACTATTCGGACATGAAGCTTTTGCCAACACACACAGTCCTGATGAGGCCCAGCACAGATTTGCTTTTCTAAATCCCCCAGAATAAATGTATTAATGCTGCTGTGAGAGTGAGAGAGAGAGAGAGAGAGAGTGTGAGAGAGAGAGAGAGAGATTTGTTTTTTGGGGACCTCTTGTGATGAAGGTTTTATGGAGTAAAAAGATTCAGTCGGTTTGTATCAAAAACGTTTTATGACAAATAGATGTTTTTTCCATCTGTCATTAATAAATCGTCTGACCAGCTATTTTTTAATTAATTTCACAGTTTAATAGATTTGGGTTGAAATTGATCAAATGTTTCCTGCAGTTCTAAATATAAAAATGACTTTATCACGTTTGATGAAACATCAGGTTTCACTGTGTTCGCTGTAAACAACACATGGTTTAAAGAAAATACTCAATGTGTCTTTGACTCTGTTGAAGTTTCTGCTGGAATTTAAATTCCTCAGGACAAACATCAGAAGTTGGTTTTATTCTCAGGATGAATTGTGGAGATCTGTTGTTTGTCTGCAGTCGTTTATTTTCTGGAGCAGAACCTAAACCAGTTGGAACTTTTTCATGAAACTTGATGATGTTGATGGGGTAGTGAAGTTTTTTCAGTATTGTGGTTTCATGACACCGATCGATGGGCTATGTGTGTCGTCTCCAGACTCATACACATGTATATATTATATATATACATACATATATATCTCACATCCCCAAACACAGTGAGCACTTAAATGGACTGACTCAGTCAATGATTATATATATATATTTATTATATTCAGGTACATTTTATCATCGAGGCTTTAAAGCCTTTTGCTGAAGATTGAAAACAAATGATGAAGCTCCTCAAGTTTAGTGGTTTTAACAAAAAGGATTTAATTTATAAAAAAAGTCTGAAGATTACCGCTGCAGCATCTTGAGGTTGATCAGAGTAGAAGCCCTGTGTAGCTAATCTTCAGGCTTGTACAAAGGTAGCTAAGTTAGCACTGGTGATCGGAGGTCTAATGTTACTAACATGAGACAAGACAATGGCTCATGTAATCTAATTCTGTTACTAACAACACATAAGATACAATAATGTTCTGCCACAGCGACTTTCTTAAAGATATAACTTGTATAAATGTAAGTTAGACAAAGTTGGACAAAAGAGAAACTTAAAACTTGTGTTGATTAGCGAAGATTGAGAATAAATTAGAATTACAGCAGCTTGAATCTTCCTCTTTGATTGGAAGGTGTTTTATAAATGAAAAAAGTCAGTGTTCATCTTGCTTCTCATCTTATAATCACATTAATAATAAGAACTCATGTTAATTAATGAATCTGAGATGTTTTTAATGTTAACGCATGTCTCGTCTCTTCAGTACTCGTCGGCTGGCTGTCTGCTGTCGCTTCACCACAGTGAGAAGCCCGATCACGAGGAGGTTTGCGAGTTCAGGCCGTACACGTGTCCGTGTCCCGGGGCGACCTGCAAGTGGCATGGCCCGCTGGAGGCCGTCATGCCGCACCTGATGCACGCGCACAAGTCAATCACGACACTGCAGGTCAGCAAAACGTACAAGTGGCTGATGGTTAGAGCTTTGTTTTGTTTGATCCATGGGCAGTTTATTTTACCTATACTGCAGCCAGTCACAGGGGGGCGATCCAGGTGTTTTTGCTTGAGATGAAATGTCTAACCTCTTTCTGTCTTACTTTGTCTGCAGGGGGAGGACATCGTCTTCCTGGCAACAGACATCAGCCTCCCGGGCGCTGTGGACTGGGTGATGATGCAGTCGTGTTTCAGTCACCACTTCATGCTCGTCCTGGAGAAGCAGGAGAAGTACGAGGGCCACCAGCAGTTCTTTGCCGTGGTGCTGCTCATTGGCACCCGCAAGCAGGCTGAGAACTTTGCCTACCGCCTGGAGCTCAACGGCAACCGCCGCCGGCTCACCTGGGAGGCCACGCCGC